ACGATCAGGTAATAGCTTCTTCTTTTTGGCTTTAAATTATATGTTGAATATTTTTTTGTGCATGATATATGGCAGACCATTGTTTTTGCTGGCCATTAATCCAAGCTTCCAAAGTCTCTAGTTGATCTATTATTTTGTGGATGGTGGCTATTTGCTGCAACTGCGTCTTGTAATAGTCTTGAACATGGCATGGCCATTAACTTGTGCTTCAGTTTGGTTTGGAGAAATCACAGTAGCAGATACGCGAACTTGCTTTCTGATCGACGATGATCTGTTTCAGGAAGAATTCATCCGGGAACAAGAAGTAGGCGAGTTGCAGTGCGAGCATCTCTACCACGCGACATGCATCGAGCAGTGGCTTCGGCGGAAGAACTGGTGCCCCATCTGCAAGTCATCTGCTCTGCCATTGTAGAGAAACGGTGAAGATCTTTTATGTCCTCTGTGAGTACAAACTTTTCTTCCTTGTGACAAATCTAGGATAATCCTTGTAATAAATTTAGGATGCTCCTATGTGTACGTTGTGTTCCCTAAGTTACAACAACATTATCGGGATGATTCAGTGATAACTTTAGCTTTCCTAAAAGAATATTCTTTGGGGACAATTTAGAGTTATATATTTTAAATTTTTCATTTGATGATCCATATCCATTCTATAATATCATTGTTAAGGAAATTCGTCGTCGACGTCTGAGTCAACTTGTCACATGATCGAAATCCCAGGGCGTAGGAGCATGCTAGGTGGCTTCGAGATGAAAGTGGAGTTATGGAGGTGTCACCTATAGTAAGATTAAGGTCGGGATAAATTTTTCGACTTGATCCCTTCAATGCTTAAGTTAGTGATCGAGGTTTCTTAGTGAGTATGGGTTTTTCTTGAAAAGAGAGCTTCCCAACGTAGCAACGAAGAGTAGCTTTTGTACCTGGCCCTAGGAAGGAGATGATCGATAACCAACCCAATGTCCCCCTCTTGATATTTTATCCACGTGGGTCTCAGGAGGGAGACAACCTTGAAAACCTGTTTTGGACTTTTATCCACGTGGATGGTAACATGGATCTTTTCCTTCAATGATAGCTTTCACATGGCGTTTATATGTCAGATGATGATTGGTCGGTAATATATTCACTATCATTTGTCTCCCCCTCAAAGCATGCTTCAGAGCTCTTATTAGAGGGGCCTAGGAGTACAACGTTTAATTCATCTGATAAGCTCATTGCCAACCTATCCCTTTGTGGTATCAAAAGGACACATTGGCCGAGTGAGGGTTGGGTTTTCCTAACTCATGCCTCGGGCGCATTTTGCCTTGCGCCGCTGTGGTAGATTTCTCTTGGCTCAAAAATGGTTTTCCCAACTTACATGCGTCAAAACACATTTTGCCCTACGCCTCTATCATGACAGATTTCACCTTGCATCTCCATTGTAGCAAATTTATGTTGGCACAGGTTAGGTTTTTCTACCTTATAATCCTCGGGCATATTTAGCTTTGTGCTTCTACTACGGCGAATTTCTCTTGGCTTTGGTCGAGTTTTCCCGACTCATGTCTTGAGCATATTTTGTCATATACCTCTATGATAGCGGATTTCTCTTAGTGTGGGTCAAGTTTTTCCGACCCACATGTCTTATGTGCATTTTTCCATGCACCTCTATTGTAATAGATTTCTCTTGGCATGGATTGGGTTTTCCCAACATATGTCTCAGGCACATTTAGCCTTGTGCTTTCGTCATATCACCTTAAGCATGTTTTGTCTTGTGCTTCCGTCGTAGCGGATTTCTCTTAACACGGGTCAAGTTTTCCCGATTGACACGTCTCGGGCATATTTAGTCATATGCTTCCATCGTAGTGGATTTCTTTTAGCACATGTCGAGTTTTTTCGACTCACACGCCTCGGGCACATTTTGCCCTACGCCTTTGGTGTATTGGACTTCTCTTGGCATGGGTCGGGTTTTCTTGACTCATACGCCTCAAGCACATTTAACCCTATACTTCTATCGTAGTGGATGTCTCTTAGCCTGGGTTGGGTTTTCTCGACTCACGTGCCTTGAGCACGCTTTGTCCTATGCCTCCATCATGATAGATTTTGAATCATTCGTCTATCGTGACGGGCTTCTAGTCCTTCCTCCGCTATAGCAGATTTCAAGTCCTCCTTTCATCATGGTGGCCTTCAAGTCCTCCCTTCGTCATGGCAAATTTCGTGTCCTCCCGTCATGGTGAGTTTTAAGTTCTTCCTCCATTGTGATATATTTCGGATCCTCTTCTTGCTATGGCGGGCTTCAAGTCTGCCCTCCGTCTTGGTAGATTTCAGATTTTCTTACATCGATGTCTCTTGGGAATTACCCTAAAGGGACACTTGTCTTGATTGTAACCACTTCTCCCTGCCTTGGTCTAAGCATTAGACTCGTAGGAAAATTGATTAAGGCATTAGACCTGCCTTGGTCTAGGCATCACAACAGCACCAATGACCACAAAAGAAACATAATGTCATCACGAGAAAGGTCCCACGCCCTTAAAGGGATGACGCACCCAAGGTGCTATCCCAAGAGAGGGAGCCTCCCACCAGTATAATGCTTATGCCTCTCGGATGGCGAAGTTCCAAGTCTTCCTCACGGAAAAAGAGAAGCATGTTGCAGTCGATATTAAACTTATGCAAAGGGAAGTTCCTACCCTTCGCGACTTTATCGGGTTGGTGCTGCCGTCAAAGGCCTCTAGTGATGGGAGGTGGAAGTTGATCGAGAATGGCTCCTCCTGGATATTCTGAGTGAATGTGGATCGATCGAAGTGGGATCAATCAGACCATCCCCTCTGGATTATTAGAACTCTCATCACATCTCTTCTAAACGTTAGTCCATTTGCCGTAGTTGGATCTTCAGGGAGTCATCCATCGAATCCACTGACTAGGTCTTAGATTCGAGTATAGAAGAGTAGTAGTGTGATGGTGTGCTGAATTTAACAATTAGGGTGCAGGCACTCCCTCGACCAATAATTCTATGGGCCTTGGGAGATCATAAGATGTTGGCACCGTATCGAATGAGGGGATTTCGATGGGTGCTAATGGCGGTTGAGGTATTGATTGCAGTTGAGCTGGCGGTATCACTTGTTAGGCTAGCTGAGACAAGAGCGAGGCGATAGTTTGTATCATGCTCGTTAGCATATGCACCTATTGGGTGAGATTCAGAAACACCACGACAGAGACAAGTAGGTGGCTCGAGGTCCTTAGGGGCGAGAGGCTTATCATTGAAAAAATGTCAATACTGCATCAGCATTTGCATACAAAATGGACGCATCCACATATGAGAAAGATAACAGTTGCCCCCTAGTAAAGATGCTATGGCCTCCTCGCTGGAGCGTTCATTAAAAGAGTTGATGGATGAACATTCATACGACATTAAGCTCTCATTATAGTACTAAAAATGTTAGAAAAATCATTATTGACGTTTGAGTCAACCCGATGTAGTCCAAACCCGAGAGTATATGAGCATTCGAGGTAGAAGCATCGAGCTTCGAAGGTGCCACTCGTACTAAGATCGAGGTCAAGAAATTTTTTTGACATGATTCTTCGGACGCTTAAGTTAGTGACCGAGGCCTTTTGGTGAGTGTGGGTTTTTCTTGAAAAGAGAGCCCTTAGCACCGTGTCGGATATTAGACTTTATACTTGACCCTAGGGAGGGGACAATCTATAATTGCCCCAATATTTTCCTCTTGATGTTTTATCCACGTGAGTGACATGAGGGAGATAACCCCGAATGGTCTGTCTTAAACTTTTATCCACATGGGTAATCAGATGGAGGGTGACTTAGATATTTTTCTGATACAATAACTTTCACGTGATGCTTATATGTTGGATGATGATTGATCGCTTATATCTTAAAGCCCCAATTTCCTAGCCAACCTTTTCTTGCATCATATCAATCGTTCATTTTTCGTCCACAATTTCATCTAGCACTATCACGATCACCATCATCAACATAGCTACTATTTTTTTTTTCGTGTGGAGCTTATTACATGATTCTTAGACACGACTTATTCCATCATTGTCGTGCTATTAATACAACTTTGCCGGCCCCGTCATGATTGAATGACGTATAAATAGTCCAACTTGTCATTTGTTTGTGCATATTTGTCCTAATCAATCATCAATTTATATTTTGAGTACGAGTCGAGCAACAATCGACGTCGAAGAGAGACAATACATACACATCCTTGACGTGTATAAACTACATGCAATCCACCAACGCATGTTCCGGCAATGATCCATCCATCCATCACTAATGCAAAGTCAACCACGCTTTTGTTTGGGGTAAAAGATGGTTCTAATCTTTCTCTAATGCTATAAATAAAGATAAATCGAGGCCCAAAAATATTCCATTACCCATCGAATTGATTGATGGGGTAAAAATTCCATCTAAATTTTCTCTAATATTAAAAAACGATAAAATCAACCATGATTTTTTTGGGGGTAAAAAGATCAAATACTACAAAAAGAAAAAATATTGCATTGCCCAACAAATTGATCGAAATACGGAAATGTTTCACTACCTATCAAATCGATCGAAATTGTCCTCTCACGTGACCATTTGACAACCGGTCTCTCTTCTAATACGATAGAAAGAAAACAAAGACGAATGGACGGCTAATAATATTTTCCATCACCATTAAATCTAAGTCACGTGATAAATACCACAAAGTCAGCCGCATGACTTCTGTTTGGGTAAAAGTCAGCTCTAATTTTTCCCTCTCTAATACGATAGAAAGAAAATAAAGACAAATGGACGGCTAATAGTAGTCCATCAACCATTAAATCTCACGTGCAAGTCACGTGATAAACACCTACAAAGTCAGCCCACTCACTTTGTGTTTGGGTAAAAGTCAGCTCTAATTTTTCCCTCTAAATACTAAAAAACAAAGATAATAAAACATTTTTCTCCGCCCTTCGAGTGGACCCCATCTCGTCTTGCTTTAACGTGGCAAAATAGAGATAAAAATGGAGTTTTTATTCGCTTCCGCGAATCCGTCTCGGAGTTCTCCACCTCATGCCGTCTCCTTTTCTCTCACCCTTCTTTCCTATTTCCTCACGCCAAGTAGAGATCCGGGGTTAGGGTTCTTCGTCTCTTCCACGCACTCTTAGCGCTTCCTCTCCCTCCGGGGAATCTTTGACAAGGTTGGTTGTCGCCTCCTTACGATCGTTGTGCCTCTGCCGGGATTCTACTCTGCCAAGGTCTTTCTTCGGTTGTGGTTCACTTTTTTCCTGAATTTTGTTGGCGATTTTTGTTTCTCCCGAGTATTGTTTATGTTATCGACGATTCGACAGTCAAAAATCGATTTTGATGTGGTACAGTGGTTTGATGAATTGCCTCTGTTCTCCCCGTGCCGACGGTTCCTGTTTGTGGCGTATGTAGTATGTGTGACGAGGTTACCGTTCGTTGAAATTATTTTGGATTTTTTGTCTTGTTTTGTGATTCGGATTTTAACTGAATCGCTTCAGATGAACAACGCAGAACTGAGACTTGTTAAAAAGTGGAATGTATGTTTCTTATAGTTTTCACATTTGGATTCCAGGTACTGCCTTATGAATGAACACTTAGGTAATGGGTGGTGAGCAAGTGGTTTATCAGGTTTACTGGCAAAGGATGAATCAGATGTAAATATGTTTGTAGTGCACCGATGCAACTGTGTTAAAGAGTATTTACAACGCATAGAATTGTGAGAAGTGGGCTGAGTTCTAAATTGTCTGCAAAAGGAGACAGTGTAGCAAGCCACTTTTACTTGTTGTCTTCGGTCATCAGGAGTTCTACCAAGCTAGCAAAACCATATTTTCCAGGCTAAAGTGGTTATAGATGCTTCTATGTACACCTGTGTTATCTCTTGCAACTATAGAAATGATATGTATAATAGATATGGATTGCTGAAGAGTGAGAGAATTGGAGGCAGAGGAACAGATAGATCTAAATGAAAATTTCTACTAAAGTAATTTTCAATGCTAGCTTGTTAATTATTTCTATATTGTTGATACTTTGAATTGATTATATAGTTCGTTCAATATACGATAGAGTGAGGTCAACAAGTGTCTCCATTGAAGTTTAGTTTTACATGGTTTGCTTATTTAGCTGATTGCATAATGGATTTTCTTATAAGCATATAATAGACATCATAACTAGTTAGTAGTATTTGAAAAATGCTTTTGTATGGACCATTTAGTTTATGGTTGAAGTGTCGCCTTAGTTCATAATTGAAGTTTCTTAACTGAGTATTCAAGTCACACCAGACAAAAGAGCATGTATTATAGGTAATTTGGGAGAGGCGCAGCAAATGGAGTAGAATACCTCGGCATCTTGTGCTTGAGGGTGAAACATGTAACATGGGATGCTAATAAACAGAAGAATTACCCTTTTGAGTTAGAAATAGCTCAATGGTAGCTAATAATGGTGCTTTCTAAGGTAGTTTATAGCAGTGTCCATGTAGCAGTTTTATCGGACAATACTGCAACATATATACTTTCACCTTTGTGATGATTTTGTTGCTTTCTGTTTTCTTTTTCTTTCGATGAAAGCTTTTGAGCAGCCAAATTCTTAAAAAAAAAAACCAGCGTCTCATGATTTTCTTGTTTTCCTTGTTTGATGAATTAGATCCTTTAAAGTGAATTTTGGCTCTATTTAATAAATAGTGGTGGTATTTATGTAGAAAAGATTGAGATGGCCTTATGCGCATTCAACAAGAAAGCATTGAAGCCCAACACTTACGCTTTGGACCTGGAGAACATAAAACTGGATTTCAATTGGGAAGATGTGACTTGCTCCATCTGTTTGGATTTTCCTCACAATGGGGTACTACTTTTTTGCTCTTCGTATGATAAAGGTTGTAGGCCATTCATGTGTGATACTGGTAAAAACCACGCAAATTGTTTGGAGCGTTTCGTAAGTGCATATGGAGTGCCTGCTGTTGTAGAAGTCACAGCTGCTGCAAATGGTGTTTATATGGTATGCATTCAAGAAACATCTTCGAGCCCGACCAGCCAACCGACCTGCCCGCTGTGTAGGGGAAACGTAACTGGGTGGCTCATTATTGATGAAGCCCGTGCCAACTTGAACATGATGAAGCGATGTTGTGAAGAGAGACACTGTACATATGTTGGCAACTTTTCTGAGCTCCAGAAACATGCTCAATTAAAGCACCCCTATTCCTACCCTTCCAAAATTGATCCTGCACATAAACTAAACTGGGAAAACTTCCAGCAGTCATCAGAGATCATAGATGTCTTGAGCACTATACATGCAGAAGCACCTCATGCAGTGGTAATGGGAGACTATGTCATTGAATATGATGATTCAGAATTTAATGATGAGTATGAACATTTTCATAGGAACAGGGGAAAATGGTGGACCTCTTGTATATCTTGTAAATTGTTCTCAAACTTTAGGGGTTCGAGAAATCAGCGAGGGTCCAGAAGGCGTTCCCGAAGCAGTCATCGATCAAATTCTGATGGTTTCTATGTAGGTGAAGGTTCTTCAAGATCTGTAGAGATAAGAGAGTACAGATTTGCTGAAGCTGATGATGAACTTGCACAAATTGGTGCTGACGCTGGTGTTGGTGCTGCAACATCACTGGTCATTCCCAGCCACTACAGGTGGGATTATTATTAGTATTATTCTTGTTGTTTCTTATAACATAATGCCAATAGAGTTATCATACTATGTGGTCATTTGTTTGGGCAATAAGTTAGGGAATAAGGACTTATCCCATAATAATGGTGCCAAACAACCTTAATTTAGAGGATTCAGCAAGGGGTTTCCTTTTATATGGTCAAACAATGTAACCAGTACAATAATAGTCCTTTTTCTAACAAAATGATAGAATTAGTATTTCCTTCATTCTTGTGTTGTTTATTGAGGGGTAAAAGCAAATATTCTTCTCTTTTTTGGTTCGTAATAGAATAATGAACATCTTGCCTTTGTTATTATTTTTAAATTGAACAATAATGGTATTTGTGATTTCCCTGTGCATGGAATAAGTTTACTTGTCCTCTTGGTAATTATTATTAAAGTAAATTTCCCCTATGTCTATACAACACTAGGATATTTTCTTGTGAGAAGGTAGATTTGGACCATTGGCTTTCAAGCAATCAAAGGAATATACACACAAACACACTTCTTTACCATTGTGATACGCATTTTCTTCTGTGAAAATGTGTGTACTTTGAAATATGGGGTTGTGAATTCAATCTGATTTCAGAACCAGTGTTAAGATGAAATCTGTGAGACTGGACTTATTTCTTATCTGAGTTTCTTCCCCTTGATTGCTTTTCTGACATTCAATCTTTTCTCAATATGGACAGATATGGGAGGCGCAGTTTCCGTTTCTATGATCGGTGACCACCAGGAATCTCCAGCTGCTAGTCAGTCCCGTTAGGACAAACTTTCCTTCGTTTTAGATTCAGATTCTTTCTGGTTGATATAGGATTTGCTTGTTGATGTTTATCTGTGAATATATTGTTAGCATAACACATCTGGCAATCCTTAATCAAATATTTGTGGGTGCATTGATGCGATTTGTTTCTTGGTATTGTAGGCCTACTTATGACCTCATTTTAGATGAAAATTACCAGATTGGCTGAGATCTGCAAGCACATGATATTTGTGGGTTTGTGGGGGCATCAATCTAATATGCTATTTAGATGGAGGGACAAGGTTGATGCTGATTAGATTTAGAACACACAAGTTTTTCGGATCTGTTAGTAGTACATTTCACATATGAGTCATATCCAGGAAGATTAAGCTTCTCTCAAATTGGTATATGGTTCCATTCTGATGGGACTGCTTCATATTATAATTAGAAGGTTGGGAGGTCCTAGTGTGATGCATGTATAATGGGAGAGGACTCTCATAACTCTTCAGTAGTCATGAATATGGCATCCTCATTGTGATATGTATGACAATTGAATATTAATTGAAGTCATCATTCTACAACTTGCATGATATTTACTGAAGATGTGAAACCTTGACTATTGATATTAAAGTTTAGGATCCAATCCTGTTTTAGCCACATGAATTAGATAGAGGCTGATGCAACAAGGGGACATAGTCTCTTTTCTGAGGTGGCCATGAGCACCCTTCTTGTGTGTAACATCTGTGCCAAGGCACTTAAGCCATGCTCTTTCTTTCCTGAGCTTGGCAAGGAGCAGGTGTTGAATAGATCAGCAAGGCACTTCATGTAGAGATTGATTTCTTTTTATCCTTCAGCAACCTTGTGCTGCTGTTGGAACTCACAGGATTGTCCAAAAAGGAGATGGATTCAATAGTTATGAGCTGCTTTCTGGTTGATGTTGCTTGTTGCATGGCCTTCTACTCTTGTTGTACAATAGAGCTAAACATGAGGTCTTCTGATACTACCATTCTTTCCCACCAACCCATCACAGCAGCTGATTTCTACTCTAACCTCAGCTAATCAAGCTTTCATTTCACTTGTGTTTCCTTTCTAGAATGGTGAGATGATAGAAGACAAATCCATCTCCACATGGCTCCAACAATCTAAAATTCTATTGCTGTAGTTTGGCTTACAATGCCTTAAACATACCAACTTAAGATATATGAACATTGCATATGTCCAAATGCTACTTGTTCTGTACGTTACTCCTCATTGGAGATCCTAAGGATGAGGGAGTAGTACCGTCGTCGTCGTTGATGAGATCATCAAAGCCCCAAAACTCTTCTTCCACCTCCTCTGCCTCCTCCTCTGGTGTCGTCCATCGATCTTGCGAAATCTCACCACCCTCCAATAATTCCACGACCTGCAGACAATCATACTGCCGATCATGGTTTTGTTGTGATCTTATCAAAGACCTATAACAATGCTTATGATGCAGAATTCAGCAGCATCCAAGGCGATTAGAACAATCCTTGTAATGGCAATCCAGAATTCATGCCACTGGGCACACTTTAATCTCTGCACTCCTCATGATTCACTCTACTCGAATCTAGATGAACTACAATGCGAGCATGAATGTCAACCTCACCAAGATGTTACCACTTGCCTTTTGCAGATTATAATTTATGACCAACATGTTCAAGTCATAAGCTGGTGATTATTGTTCATGACAGAATCAAGAAATCTGTAGGGGCTATTCAATCAAAGAGGATTATGCAGATGAAAACAACAAATCTCCAAATGATCTTTGTGAGGTTACCTCGGTCATGGAGGGGCGCAATGTTGCTGCTGCTCTGACACACAGAGAGGCTGAGAAGGTGAGCCGTCTCAGCTGCTCCATGTCATAGTCTTCACATAATCTTGGATCGACCAGCACTCGCATGTTGCCATCGTCGAGAAAAGGTCTTGCCTGCAAAGATGTAATTAGCCAGTCAAAAGATTGCCGAGTTGTTGATCTTTGTGGTGGATTGAAGGAAGAGAGAGTGAAGCATGAGAATGTCCGCATGAGTCAAACGAAGTGCTGCAGCTGACATCTACCCAGCTAAGCAAGCTCCTGTGGGAGCCATCCACTGGCTTTCTCCCGGATATGATCTCCAGCAGGAAGACGCCGAAGGCGAAGACGTCCGTCTTCTCGTCCACGATGCCATGCATGAAGTATTCCGGCGCCAAGCACCTGCGTCGACACCGTCAGCTCCCCTGTCAATTCAGAGCTTAATGCCAATACTTCGATTCAGGAGCTCAGAGACGTATACCCAAATGTCCCTTCGATCGGCGCAACCGCACGGTGAGTCCACTCCGACGGAAGCCATTTTGCAAGGCCGAAATCTGAAATCTGAAGGCATTGCGTGCTTTCAGGGATTAGTCAGTGGAGAAGCAAGAAGGTTATTTCATCATATACCTGAGGCTCAAAGCTGGTCGTGAGGAGGACGTTGGAGGCCTTGATGTCTCTGTGGATGATCCTTCTCTGGCACCCCTTGTGCAGGTAATGGAGTCCGCGCGCAGTGCCCACCGCGATGTCGTACCGCAGCTTCCAAGCCATTGGTGGCGAGTTCTCATCTGCAGGCGACACGGGCAAAGACCACAGTTGTGAGTCGACTCCCACGCCTTTTCTTGGGATCTTTTGATCGAGTCATTGGGTTTACCGTGGAGATTGGACGAGACGGAGCCACGGGAGGAGAACTCGAAGATCAAGTGGAGGTCGCGGTCGATGCAGCAGCCGAGAAGAGCAGACACATTAGGGTGCCGCACATGGCCGACGGTGCCGAGCTCCGTCAAGAAGTTCTTCTCCCTCTGCTCGTCCGTGGCGGCTATCATCATCCTCTTCACGGCAATCGCACGCCCGTCCTCCATCACGCCCCTGTACACCTCCGCGTGCCCACCTCTGCCCACCAAGTTATCTACCCAAATCCAGAAATGGCCATAGCAAGCACAAGATCAGATTTTGACATGCAGTTCTCGTTGCGGCAGCGCAAAAACCCTAAAAAAGACAGACCTTGGTGAAAACCATTGGTCGCCTTGTGGATCTCATTGTAGGAGAAGCATCTCCAAGTTGGTTTCAGGGGCGGCGAGCTAACATCGAGCATAAGCTCCACCTGTTTGCTCTCACGCACCGGGGAGGCGTTCTCGTGCGTGTCCTCTTCATCTCTGCTCCTCCTCCTTCCAACGGTGACAGAGAGGAGGCGCCTGAGGCTTTTGCTCTTCTTACACAGCTCCCGCATTCTTCGTCTCTGTAAAGGAGAAGCGGAGTGCAGTCGTTGCGCTCCACGCTACAGGCGTAGGGCAGTCGGGCTCCCAAGGAAAAGGAGAAGCGGAGAAGGGCTGCAGGGGGGATGAAATGGGCAGTGAGGGGAGGAGGATGGAGGGAGAAGAGGAGGCATTAATGGCATTTGAAACAGTGAACCATGAAAAGCTAAGAGCAAAGGCAGGGGAGAGGATGCTTTGGTTGCAAGGGATGCATGGAGGCATTTATTGTCATGGTTGTGCATTTGGTATTAAAAAAGACAATAGCAAGCGAGAGAGAGAGAGAGAGAGAGAGCGAGCGAGAGAGAGAGAGAGAGAGAGAGGATGGAAGATGGAGCTATGTAGGTGGGAAGAAGATCACTGTCTCTGCCGTTGTCTTCCTTGTAACAGATATCCTTTGGTAGTGTGGAAGGTGGCATTTGGAACTCAAGCATTTGTTCTTACTTATAGAGAGGGAGAGAGAGAGAGAGAGGATGGAAGATGGAGCTATGTAGGTGGGAAGAAGATCACTGTCTCTGCCGTTGTCTTCCTTGTAACATATATGCTTTGGTTGTGTGGAAGGTGGCATTTGTTCTCACTTACATGCAATAGATTGAGCAATTGAGCTAATAGATTCTGTCCACAAACAACAAATAAGAGAGAGAGAGAGAGAGAGAGAGAGAGAGAGAGAGAGAGGAGATGTAGATAGAACAGAGCTGCAATCAACAGTGGGAATTAGGTCAATTTCTTTGCCACTGTCTTTCTTCCATGTGAACTGGTGGTGTTTGGAGCACAAGAATTTGCTGCTACTTAAAGTTAGCTCTGTGAGAGATTGAGCTATGGATTTTATCCTAAGAGAAAGGGGGAAACAAAAGAGAGCTTTGTATAGAACAAACAAGATCAGAGGTATGTAAAGTATGTTGATGACAACATAGAGAAATCTTGACAACATGAGCTCAAAGAAATGAACACAAGAAGAGATAACCCTAATCCTTTTCTCAACCAAGACAGGAGTTGAGTTAGCATAATCAACAATAACAACACCTAAAAATCAATCTACAATCATCTTCTGTAGTATAATAAGATCATACATAATGTTATAATTGCTAGTCAAAAATGACATATGAAAGAGATGAATGCCCATATCATCTTAAATGAGATATAAACAGGGGAAAAAAATTTAATTTTAAGAATGCTACCTTTGATTTGGATTTAAGGAAAGTTGTATTGAGATGTGTGGCAGCCACTTCATGTGTTATGTTGTGTATAGATCAAGACTTCTTGTTCTTGGGAGTGGTTATAAATTATTGGATCAATCTAGTAAAATATTGAGGCTTTGTCCTCTATAGCCAAATAACAAGATAAAGTTACAATTTAAGATGCCTTTCTTGCATTGGTTCAATGGATAAGGTCTTGGATTGGGTCAATCTAATAAATTTTAAAGCTTTTTTTAGGCAAGTAAAATAGTTCTGTGATGTCTCAATAGCCACTCTAAGTTGAATGTTTCTACCATATCATTTAGACAAGAAAAATTGTATATGGATGTATTGTGCTTCTATATATATTATATATTAATTGAGTTTAATCATTGGTCATCAAAAAATAATGATGATAAACCATAATAATTATGGAGATCATGTGATAAACACTACCCTATTATTTTTTATTTAACCATCAAACAGTAAAAACAATTAACCAAATCAAGATCCATTTTAATAGATGTTAAAACAAGGTTTCCATGCTTTCGCTCATTCATATAGATTATTTATTTGACATTTGTATATACTTCGGATCTAAATAATTAGTTAACAATGACATACGAGATAATGGATATCACATAGATAGTCGAGAAGATTTGAGACGATATGTGAATTTACGTTAGCGAGAGTATCGTGCACTAAACATAGCTATCGTAAGGTAAGATGTATGGAAACCTAAGTTTATTACATACAAAATCATAATTATACATCAAATCAACGAGATCGTGACAGTTGAACTATGACCAATGTCTCTATATTGCTAAGAGCCTCGACCACTAAATAACGTGACGATTGAAGGACCGATGTGAGATAGAATTTATCGCACATCAAATCGAAGTCCCTATAATGAAGTTACGTTGAGCCAACCTATCGAGTACAGCGTGACCATAGACCAACCATTTCATATCGTTACTTCCATGGACAACCCTTTCTTCTTCATGCAATGCAATCAAAAGATGGATTACTCCAATCGATCCCGTCAGCTGTCACTGTTTAGATCGAAAGCAGCGTGGCCAAGATCCGGTCGTCTACTCCACAACCTCAAATTGACACACAGTAGATTCTCTCCAAAATCTTATATTTTAAGATAATTATTATAATTATAACAACACTCATTGAAAAAGCCTTTTTACCATTTTCTTTGGGATGAAGATCTGACTCTGATGATGATGGAAGCACTCTCGAGACAAACACACAGCCATGATTACGTGAAGATGAAAAAGTATTATTGGTTGATGGAAACGAGAAAGTTGCATTAAATTCATCAATTTCCTTCTCAAATTCCAAGGCTAATTTACCATATGCATATGAGTAAGAAGTCATCAACATGGCATTTCTATCATGAGCTCAGAGGCCGAAACTTAAGGAATCAGAATCCTTTGGTGTGTACTTAAGCCTAGTTTAATTTTGATGGGTTTTAATAGTTAGTTAATTACAATTAGGATGAAGTATTAGACTACTTAGGATATTTTAGACTATATATTATGAGGGAATTTTCTTTAAAAGAAAAAAGGGTCTTCAGAGTGTATCATTTAAACATTCATGTTTTGCAATATTGTCAGATGTCCTTCAAATTACATGAGCTACATATTTGTTGAAATAGTTGATAAGTTGCATGACAAAATATGATGAAAAGAATGTTTCAAATGAGCATTAAGTACATTTTTTTCAACTATCACATATTTACCATATAGTCTAAATAAAATTGCACAATGACACATTATAAGTACTTTAAAAATACAAGTAATCCATGTGCATCATGAAATCACCCCTACAAGAGGTCATCTCAAACTCAGATAAGGCCTTGGATCTAATAACAGTAAAGCCAGTTTCACCAAATCAATATATATATATATATATATATGGAGGGAAGGACCAAGTCAAACTTGTTAAAGAAGATTTCCACTCATCTATCCTGCTCAACCATCCCATTCCATTTGATGGTCCAAAAGCATCCACAAAACCCTCTACCTCTATAATTTTGGAGGAAGAACATCTTCAAGTTTAGCAAACCCCCCTCAGCTTCCTTTTCCTATATATATTCTTACTCCCCGTGATCATCCCTTCCTCTCCTCCCATTGTGGGGGGGCTGACCAAGCCAAACCCATATCCAAAATGGACCCCAAAGCCCATGTCTTTCTCATCTTCCTCCCTCTTCTCTTCCTTGTCTCCTCGGTCATCACCTTAGGCATTGTTGAGATTCCCGAACCATTCGATGAATTCTCCACCTTCACAAAATGGACCCCAAAGACCATCACCATCCTTGCCATCGATAATTCCGCCATCTCTCCTCTGTCCTCTCTATCGGCCGACATCCTTAAGAAGGTCATCTCCGTCCTTGTAATCCTTGACTACTATGATCCCTACAAACTCGACCAGCTTCCCAACAACACTGCCCTCCTACCCACACTCTTCCAGGCCTCTGGCCTAGCCACCAACCAGATGGGGTTCTTGGACTATACCAAGCTGCCCAGCATGCAGATGGTGTTCGGCTCAGCCGCCACCAGGGCACCCCTCAACTCCAATGTGCTCAAGGTGGTCGCAGCACAGCTTATGACATCTCAGTGCTTCAGATTAGCACTGTCATCGTTCCACCCAGCATCAAGAGTTTAACACCGGTATCAGCTACACCAGCTGCTGCCACGCCAAAGGAGGCGCCTGTTCAGAAGCCAGTGACAGCACCACATGTAGCAGCTCCAAAGGCTACTGCTGCAGCACAGGGTCCGACGGGAAGTGCAAATGATGAAAAGGATGCAGATGCATCCACAGCTTCGCCTGCGGAATCAGAGGACGCACTGAAACATCCTTCGTAAGCTGCTAGAACACTAGCAAGTGTGATAAATGACGTTCAATTTCAATTACTTGCCTCTTTCTTCTTGCTGGATGATGATATGGTTCCTGCAGTCAAAATTTTGATTCTAATGATGTTCATGGCAACTATATCAAGATGATTTTGAACTAACTCATCGAAAAATCAAAGGGAGATGGTTCTATATCAAGATGATGATACTTAGCAATTGAATACCTCTTTGATTCGAGCACGAGCTTTAGATGAGTATAAACAATTAACTGCATGTATATTTGTCCAAGTTACTTGAGGAGAGGGTTCCCCCATGTTTCCAGTGAATAGTCCATCAATGTATTCTTCAGTGTCAGCCACCTAAATCAAAAGAGTAAAAAAGAATGAAGGTAAACCATCCAATTCTAAATCTACTATAATCAGCACAATGATATCTCAAGGAAGATTATGAACATTCATATCTGCCAAAATATATTTGTATTTAATTCCCCAGTTCCACATTATGATCACAGGCTTCCCAGTCATATTGTTCGGGGAAGTCTCATGTTAGTCAACACAGTCTGAAATGAAAACATGAAAAGGTGATGGATTGAGAATTTCATGAAGCAGGTTAACAAACTTGGGAGTAGCTGTGCTCACAGAAGGCCTTTTTTGTAACATTTTTTGTCACGCTCAGGTTAATCTTTTGGCCAGAGGCTATCTTTAGTGATACTTTCTTCTTAAAGCATCTTGTTCTATACACTATGTGGTACAGGGAAGTTAACCAGGTCGCCTGATGGGTGGCTAAATGGACTAGTTTTGGTTGTACTTAACTATACTAGGAGGCTGCCTCTGGAACAGTGTCCTTTTTAGTGATGAAAAAAAAATGCAACATTTTGAATCTATCAAGCTAAGGCAGACTTACATTTCATTGATGCTAGAGAAAATAACAAATTACAATGTTACAAAGAAACTAGTGCTTCTGAAATAGCAACTGGTGTTGCAGGATAAGTACCTGAACAGCCGCACTTTTTCCAGACAAAGTCTATGATTTAAGGAATAACCAATCTAACTTACAATTCTTTAGTATATTTCCCTCTAACTCAGTTAATTGGTTGAAGACATATGGTACAGATCTCTCAATCAGGTTCAGCAAGAAAATGCAGCAAAGCAATTACATAAAACATTTGAATAGTGTCTAATTAATCACTTCATCCTACTACTTTTGAGAACAAAACTGAACCTAACTGGCCTTGTTGAGACTCCTAGAATGTGTACTTTTTGATGTCCAAGATGACAACATCAATGTGCACCAGTCTATGTCAATGCAACTTGAGAGATTAGCATCACCATAGATCAAAAGAAGATGATCCAAGCTCTTACCTTTTCATAGCCTTTGAACTTAAGCCAACCATTCTGAATAGCCAAGTTACCATTAGATTAATTTTCTGTAAGTTCTATCAATTATCTTCCGTTTCACTAACCTCCACAATTGCAGACTCGAGCATCGTTGACAAGACAGAAACAAAAACAGAAGCAGAGTAACTGATATACATAACTTCCAACACTTCTAGCTGTTTCTGATAGCTTTAGCATAATCCACAAGTCAATTACAGTATCGATTTAAAGGCTAAACAGAATTTACTGTATCCTGAAACTTGAGTCTCTTTTTTCTATTACAAGTTCATGTGAAATAATTAGAAAGGAAAGAAGAAATTTGCTTAGCCAATAAAGACTGACAGTATCTTTTTTGGCAATTACCACATATTTAGAACATGTATACTAGAATATGCTTTACTCTTCTTTGAATTTTTTTGTTTCATGATGAAAGAAGTTACAAATGCGAGAAAATTTTGGATACTCTTAATTAGTAAAATGAGTTTTGGACCCATTAATGGCTTTCTGTTAACTACTCCAACTAGAAATTTGGAACCAATTCCCTAACATGTTCAACATAACTTGGTAGCTAATATCAAAATATGCTAAATTGTTCAATGGTGCTTGATCAGCTAGCAATCAAACCGAAGCAAAAGGCGGGGAGTTTGAAAGAACAACCAGACCGACTCAACTCTAAAGCTCCCAGTCACATCAAATGATGCTACCCTTAAGCGTTCGATTTGAGGCACACTAGCTTTCCAGCAACTACCCAATTTATAGATCTACAACCATATGTCATCAAGAGAATCACGAACAATCTGGTAGCAAGTTCTGCTGTTTTTCACGAGGGAAAGAACAAGATAACAAGAAATCAGAGATTAACCCGAAAAACTTTCTACCATAGGCGCTTCGATTAGTAACAAAATCGTTCGATCCATTCCCCAATTCCCAAAAAACAAGAAGATGAAAGAGGGAGGAACCCACCGCCATTTATGGAGCAGCCAAAGGTTGGGGCGGCCGAACCGAACGCGGAACACAGAGAGAGAGAGAGAGTTTAGGGTTCAAGAGCTCCAAGGATCAAACCCGTTGCGGTCGTCTTCTTTCAAGTTGGACCGAACCGGGATTACTTATTTAATGGGCCGGCATATATTTGAATTTTATTTACAATATAGTTTGGGAAATTAATTTATATGTTCCCTATAGGATTCCAATTTAATCAAATTATGAGAATATATGCATGATATTATTGACATTTTTTTAATTATATATGAAATGAATTAAAAAAACCCAATTATACTAAGAATAAGTGCTATGGTTTTACATATCTATCCTTTTAAAGGGTAAAAAATAACACATTTATCCATCAATATATATATATATATATAATTTGGGCCCATAACTGCTTAGTTTACTACAGGAATCAATAATTTCGTTTGTTCAAAGAAACACCATGTAATTTTCTCATGATCATGTCTTGAGTATTCAACAACTGAGGCCAGAATCATTGTTATTCATCATTTGAGTAGTAGATACTGTCTGATGAATCAGAATCTGACAAAGGTTAGTCTTTGTTCTTGCAGACCCTGTAAGCTGATACATAAGCTTCAGCACAACCAAGCCTTCGGTGACGTGAAACGAAAAGAGAGGCATCATCATCATCTCTGCTGATGGTGGCAAAAGCCACTGCAGAATGCAATATCTGCTGCACATTTAGTCAACCCTACTAAATGTGGCGTTTAGTACCTTGACATGAAAGACACGGCAGAACTGCCATGCACTGGATCACATGCAACGCTCACATTCATCACGAGTCGCTTGTCTGCAAAGCAATCGAGAGCAGCAGCACAAGTACCGTGACTTGAAAGCCTGTTGTTCGAGCATGCAGAAGGATTTCAATTGCGTGAGGAAGAAGACAGAAACCAGAAAAGCCATGCTCCCACGCATGGAGTCCTCGAGAAACAGTGAGACGTCCATCATTTCATGCCTCTCCAAACTTAGACGAGTACATTGGATCCCAAGTAGAGGAACCTCCACGGATATCAAATAATACTCCTACTTGATTTGTGATAATAGTGCATGCATATCTTCAGAGTGCATGTTTCCGAGATTCTCTGAGAGGATCAGAAGAAGCGAAATGATTAATGATCGTAGCGATTTCTACAGAGGTTGTGTTCAAGAGCTTGGCTGACTCACTTCCAGTTCAGATCACCCACGAGGAGTAGGTCATCCTCCATGTCCTCGTAGGCCACGATGTGGCCAGGCATTGCGTCGGAGAGGTGGAGCACCTCATCTCCGTCCTCACGCCGGCCATCGCCCTCATCCACGTCGACGAACATGCGGCGCAACGCCTTAGCTAAGCTCGCGTAGCTGGTGTGCTTGTCGAGGCGGATAAGGTGGCAGATCGATCGGCCCTCCAGGAAGACGGTGACCCGGGGAACGACCGCCGATGCCACATCGTCGTCCAGAGAAGAGAGAGTCAAGTTGTTCTTGCCGGTCGGAGCCCGAGATGGCTGTGCGGCTGCACCGGTACCGCACCGCCGCTTCGGTGCTTCATGGTGCAACTCAAACCCGTTCACCATCTTCACTGCGCCGCCCACCCTGCTCCAACGTGTAGATTAGAGAGAGAATATGGAGGCGAGGACAGAGAAGTCATGTGCGAGCGGTTCAACCATCAGTGTCCAAAGGACGGTGAGAGATGCCGCGAGAAAGATCGAGGTAGGGGATAGATCGCATGTGGTTTTATAGTGGGGGAGAGAGCAAATCACATTGTCGTTGTTGCTTGCGAGTGGGAAAGGAAGGAAGGCCATGTCGTTGTCGTCGCCGCCGTCATTGTTGATGCTGCTTGCCGAGGTGCTGATGGGTCGTGGTGAAGTGGCGGTGGTGGTGTGGCTTTGTTGGGTAGAAGAAAAGATGGGCCGCGATGGCCACCGGTCGAGACTTCGCTTATGGTGGGTATCTATTGAGCCTCATTTTCATGTTTACATGTCTTTTCATTATTTCTCCTTTTATTTTCTTGACATGAGTGTAAGTAACCATACATGAACCCCCTCTCTGGGCCACTTGGACTCATTAATGGCTCGTCCTCTGTGGGCTTTTAGATAGGTTGATTGCGTCGTATATATCCAATTTGGTCCGTATATATTGTGGTAAGCTTCCGATAAACACACATTCCCTCGTTTCCAATTGCAAACCAATACTGTCATCAACACATTAAACCATACTAATGCCTTAAGAATCTGCTTAGAAGAAAGTATACTACACACCAAATCCAAGTATTCTTGTCATGCCTTGATGACAGTATTGGTTTACTATATCTTTCATATATTTATTGAAAGATGAAAGCTCAGAATCCAAGTAGATATGGTGTATCATAATAATATAAATCCATATGGAATCGAACTGTTACTATAGGCAACAGGTTTGGCCCTTAGATTGAGCTGCTATCTTCTCTTTGGCATTGACATCTGTGTGACGCATGAACGCTAGCATCGCATCGGGCTTGCCGTCTTCTCCTTCTCACTTACATTTTGCTCACCAAAATGAGATTGATTCAACACCAGTAGAAGTGGTCCTTTTGAGCAGGTGAAGAGCACGTACCTGCTCTTTTGGAGGCTAGTTGCAGGTGGTCTTTGGCATTTTGCAGCAGCGAAGGATCACAGGACGGAGAAGAATCACAGATCGTATTGTAGAATCCTCACGAGGAAGGGGGGAATATATGCCTTCGATCTCAGAAACCATGGTCCCACATGTGACTCCTTGTACCGCTCCAGTCTCTTGGATTTTACTGCCTTCAGCTCCCAGAAACTTTTCGCTCTTGCTCAGCAGATTCGATTCTTTGCTGTAGATTAAGATTGTGCGACGAGCATGGAAGAACGTGCATGGAAAGCGTGAGAGACTGCAACGTGAACCGGAAGCAGGCACAGTGACGGGGGGATTTGTTTAGTGCAACCTATCGGCCATTTGGGGTTCTCATATGAAAAGATGGGAGGGTAGGGGTCGTGTCAATCATCACGCTGGCCAAGGCCATTGGGGCCTCTCCTTCTTGATCCTGCTCCTGATAACTCCTTGGGAGTTGGGAACTGTGTCAGTGCAGCTTCTCAGTTCAAATCCAGCCATGTCGATCCGTGTGTCGAGGCTTTCAGCTTTAACAACTCTCTGTTTGTTTGTTCGTTCGTTCAATGATGCATACACAATAAGCCTCTCCTTCATCCTTGTTTGAAGCTCTCTATCTCTTTCTCTCTCAGTCTGTGTGCGTCTGAAGGGAGACAGGAAGGATGGGTTTCTTGCAGGGAGAAGCTTACTTGCCTTGTTTGCTTGCACTCGCATCCTGTGTTGGTTTCATGGGGACAACGATGAGCAGAGGCAGAGAGCGAACTCTCCCGAGAAGGGAACCTATGATGGTGGAGGAAGAAACAAGCACTGAATGAACAGAGAGAGAGAGAGAGAGAGAGAGAGAGAGAGAGGTGATGCTGATATCAGCCTTTGATTGATTTGAAAGTCTAATTGCAGAGCTAAGATTGTACATCAAACCTGCGTATTTTCGTGACAGGTGGGCGGATTTAGACTGAGAAATCTGCAGCAATCCAACAAAATTTGCAGAATAATAGAAAAAAACTTGATGGATGCCTTCTTACCCTACATGACTAATCCTCCGCGGGACTCACTCAAAGCACAAGATTGGTTTGCAATCACAGGCCTGCTCTGCATCCTCTATATTCTTCCCTGTCTTGTGGTGGTGCAGGTGTCAATTAATTTTATCTGCCTTCTCTCTGCAAGCCCACATGCATACATCCCTATGAGGTTCTACAGCCTGAAGCCCAACTTTTCTTCTCATTTATTCGACTGCTCACATCCTCGTTGCAGGGCCTACTAAATCTCCAACCCATCCATTGTCCTCTTCCCCAGATCTTTGAAATCATCATAAAGAAGGAACAAGACTGAACCAAGCCCCCTATATAATTCCCTCTCCAAGGGAAGAAGGCCACCCCATCTTTTCTCCCACCGTTGGAACTCTGTTTTCTCTTGGAGAGGTTCTAACAGAGTCATGGATTGCTGGTGAGGAGAGATATGGAGGAAGAGTGGAAGTCGGGACTTCTGCCGACCGAGAAAGACCACTTCTTTGTTGCACCGTGAAGTCTTTATAGTTTGTCTGCTAGCTTCTTTCGAGGATCGATCCAAAAATCCAAACTTTGTTCCACCTCCCCTGTTCCAAGTAGAAGAAAAAGGCGGCTTTTTTCGGTGAGGAAGAGAGAAGCGAAGGCGGAGATGAAGGAGTTCTGGACGTCCATGGCCTTCCTCATGGGGGTCTTCGCCTTCTTCCAGAGCATCCTCCACGCCGTGTTTCCACCCGAGCTGCGGTTCGCGGTCTTGAAGCTCTTTCACCGTGTCTTCCTCTGCTTCTCCACCTACTGCTACTTCGACATCACGGAGATCGACGGCGTGAACACCAACGAGCTTTATCACGCGGTGCAGCTGTACCTCAGCCGCTCCGCCTCCGTCGCCGCCTCCCGACTCAGCCTCTCGCGGGGCCTCAACTCCTCCGCCTTCACCTTCGGCCTCACCAGCAACGACTGCCTCGTCGACACCTTCTGCGGCGCCACCGCCACCTGGGAGCACGTCGTCACCCAGCGCCAGTCGCAGACCTTCTCGTGGCGGCCGCTCCCGGGGGAGAAGCGCAGCTTTACCCTCCGGATCAAGAAGAAGGACAAGCCCCTCATCCTCCCGGCCTACCTCGACCACATTATGGAGACCGCCACCGATCTCCGCCGCCGGAACCAGGACAGGCTACTGTACACCAATTCGCGCGGCGGCTCCATCGAGTCCCGCGTCGTCCCGTGGGAATCCGTCCCCTTCAAGCACCCGAGCACCTTCGACACCCTCGCCATGGACTCCTCGAGGAAGGAGCTCATCATGGCCGACCTCAAGGACTTTGCGGAAGGGAAGGCGTTCTACGAGAAGACAGGCCGGGCCTGGAAGCGCGGATACTTGCTTTACGGCCCTCCCGGCACCGGCAAGTCGAGCATGATCGCCGCCATGGCGAATTACCTCGGCTACGACGTCTACGACCTCGAGCTCACCGAGGTGCACACCAACTCCGAGCTCCGGAAGCTCCTGATGAAGACCACTCCGAAGTCGATCATCGTCATCGAGGACATCGACTGCTCCATCAATCTGACGAACCGGAGCTCGAAGAAGCTGGCATCCCCGTATGACCTCAGGCCCACCGGCGGCTGCGGTGCGGAGGACGTCCATGCCGCCGCCAAGACGATGACTCTGTCGGGCCTGCTAAATTTCACGGACGGGCTGTGGTCGTGCTGCGGCAGCGAGCGGATCTTCGTGTTCACCACCAACCACGTCGAGGAGCTCGACTCGGCGCTCCTGCGGTCGGGGAGGATGGACATGCACATACTCATGAGCTACTGCTCCTTCCCCGCATTAAAGATTCTCATGAAGAACTACCTGGGATTGGAAGATGGCGAACTGGGTGGCGACACACAGGAGAACTGCGGGCTGCTGCGGGAATTGGAGGAGGTGATCGACGACGCCGAGATAACTCCGGCAGATGTCAGTGAGATTCTGATAAAGAACAGGAGGCGGGAGAAGCGCGAGGCAATGGCGGAGCTACTGGAAGCGCTCAAGGCCCGGGCGGAGAAGAGGAAGAAGGAGCGAGGGGGGTCGTCGGCCACCGCGAGGAAGAAAAGCTTAGATGATGAGATGGAGGAAGAGGAAGAGCAGGAGAAGAGGGCATTGGAGAGCCCCAAGGAGAGTGGCGAAGAGATGGATGGGTGCAATGGCAAGGAGGAGAAGAGGGAGGAGGATTAACTACCAGAGAACATTTGCCGAATGCTACTGCTTGTGCTTGCTTTCTTTCTCATCGAAGGGGAGGTGGATTAGAGTTGGAGCATCAGTCTTCAGATCCTTTTGTTTTGGTGAGAGCTTTTGGGAGTGCCTTTGAAGACCACCTTCTCTGCGCTTGTTAGCTTCTTCTTGTATCCTCTTTCTCCTGAGGAATAAAGATTTGGTAGGTACACAGGTGTTGTTGCCCATTACATTTGATTTCTCTTGTCATCTGTTCTATCCTTGTTAGATTGCCGATGGCATGAATCCAGTAACAAGATAATGTTACTATATTAGAGATCTTGGAATTGTTAGTACTTGTTATATCCATAGTTTTTGTAGCTATCTCAGTGCATGCTGCTCTTGGATTCCTGTTAAAGATTGCAGCAAGTACATTGGATAACTGCTACTCTGCTCATCAGTTCTCTATCAGATGATATCAAATTTAAAATGTGTGATTGGATTCAGCAGGATAAAGTCCACTAATCGTTGGAATTTATGCCATTATAGAACAAGAAGCAAAAATTGATGTAAACTTGGATGTTAATGATGGAGATGAGTGAATGCAAGGCATTAATTAGCAATCTAAGAAAAAAGGAAAGAAAAATAATAATCTCAGCCATCTGTTTATGTATGTACGCATTAAATGATCCCAGTCAAATTCACAGATCCTATTAAAACTACAATGTCAGTATCTTCATAAGAGAATAATTCATACCATTGATTATGCATAACCTTTGATAACATTCAGTAATGATCTATAATATCAAATCAACCAAGCTATCCTTGTCATTATAATCCTTCTTTTAATTTTAGAAAGTCTGAAAGTAGAATAACCCTTGCATAACAAAAGCAGAAAAAAATAAAAAGATCAGATGTGATAATTATTTCATTAACTTTGTAATCTAACTCAAATATTTTTTTCACTACTAATATGAAACTAAATTAAGGTGTCATATTCTACTCTGCTGCATGTAAGGCTCAACCTAATAATAGTTTTATGACAGAATCTAGAAGTTAGATCAAGAGTATTCAATTCTATTTATTTGTTTGTTTGTAAATTAGTACACTAGGACATACCCTATGTGCAATGCCCATTGTCATAAAACTATTGTTCATATGAGGTAGATACTGCAAAAGATGAGAAAAAAATGAAATATAATATAATACAAATAAAAATAAATTAAAGACAGAGATGAGAAAATATACTAAAAAGAAGGGACTTGATAGATGTCTTGGCCTGCAAGGATCAAATTTCAAGTCAGGCTTTGATGCCTTCACTTTCTAAAGATATCCATCGGTAAAGAAGGACCAAATTTCTTATGGTGTCAATCAGATATTTGTTATCTTACTATCACTGAAAAGGAACTCCTTTTTGTCTGGACATATGAGCTGAAGGTGACCATTAATTAAGCTTGCAATGACAAGTTCTGAAGGTCACCAAATAGGATGATGCTTACACACTTTTGCTCTAGTGATTTATTATTTGGACTGACCACTTGAACTAGCAAAGAGAAGAATCTCATAAACCCTTTGAAGTAAGCAACTCCAATACAATATTGTAGAATTAATAGTTCTGCAAGTCGTTTTCAGCAGATGGAAAGTCATGAAATGGTGGTGCCAAGAACAAGGATCATCAGCTGAGAAGAGAAGGAGAAGGGAAGTCTCATACATGGAGATGCAAATAGTCCTGTGCAATTGGTGCTCCAGAATAATGTATACCTCTCGAAATATAAATATCATAGATACTTTTTTTGAGATTTTATCAAGCCTTTGATGTGAAATGAAGCAACTAGCAAAGTTGACAATGGACAGCTGAGAGATGAGCAGGCAGAATCACTGCTGAGGTGAGGCCTTTTTCTGGCCTTTTGTGCCTTAGAGATGATGGGAGTAATCCTCACTCCTCACAGCCTAAGAAATGCTCCGAAGGTGGCAGTAGTTTTCAGCATTACTCTCCCGAACAACACAAACAAAACACCCTAACTTGCAAGGAAAGTTTGGTATGCTATGAACTCCTTTGGAGAAGCTAAAGAATATGATTGGAAGGTGACAGTCTTTTTGCAGTGAAAGCATCATTTTCCTCAAGAACAGTTCTCTCATGATGCTCTTCTGAATGACACAATCAAAGCACCTCTTCCTAACTCATCAGAAGACAAGCTTCCAAAATCTAATTTGGCATATGCTTCTTTTGATATGAATGGTACAGATGTGTGATGTGGAATAGGTGATCAGACTAAACTTGTTCCTCCTCACAGCTGCAGAATATGCTTGGGAGGTGGGAGTACTTTTTCAGCAGCCCAAGCATTATCATCCTCAAGAACAGTTGTATGAGGCTCCTCTGAGCGACACAATCAAAATCACCACCTCCTAACCTTTACAAAAGGACAAGCTCCGACAGTTTCAATGGAGTGGAACTAACTGTTAAAGCCTGTTGGAAGACAGCAGTTCCAATGGAGTGGAGTGCTCATCATGAACCCAATCCTTGGCTATGGCCTCCTTTTCTTTCCCCCCATGAACTCATCTCATCATTCCAATAGGATTCTCTTCTGATACACTGTTGAGGACATGGAGATGGGCCTGCTTCCCCAGAGGGGATCCAATGCTTGTTGTGAGATGCACATCATCCATGATGCTCTCACATTGGCTGCACAGGTTCAGTGATGCCTAACTCATTCATTCAACCTTAAACCTCATCCACCATCACACATTTCAGCACTAACAAGATTCATGGAGCTGATGAATTGTGATACTTCATTTAGGTTATGGAGCTGACTTTTCAGAACAGAGAAGAATCCAGTTTGATCCTTGAAAGGGAAACAGTCTTGCTTACAATTCTAAACTTCACGCAGACTATTTCAGGTTGTTTGAGTCGACAAGAAGGTACAAATTATATATTTTATCCTCTAAATACTTGACAAACAACTTATTTCTATGACAGTTCTATTGACTGGGTAGGAAGGTTGAAGTTATCCTGCCAAAGAACACAGCCAACACAATGGCTTTTTCAGCAAAGATAATCCAATCTTATTAGATTCATTTTTAAGTTCATACGATAAGACTCCAATGCTGAACTTAAAGTAAATCAGATACACCACCGCGGCCTAAGCTTCGATCAATAATCTAACCAATGGAACAATTGATTTATAAAATAACATACCATAATATTTTTCTTTCTTTATCATCCTTTCTCTTTTTTCTAATTCCACTCTCTCTCTCTCTCTCTCTCTCTCTCTCTCTCTACTATCTTTTTTTATTGTTCTTCTCTCCTTTTCCCTTTTTGGATTGAAGAAAAAGGAGAATTCTTATGCTTCCTCTGTTGGATGTCAGAAAGAAATCAATAAATATCAACAAAAGGGCTGCATGTGAAGAACTTGCCATATGAATCAGAAAACTGTAAAGTTCATATCCAATTTGTATTAAATTACATAAAAGAATCAATAAAACTTATGAAAAACAAATTATACTCACATACTTTTGCACACAAAAAAAAGAAAGAAAAAAAAAAAACAAAAACAAAATTGGAAGGATGAAAGCCATTACTCTTCCATTGCCAATCACTGCACATAATCAATCCGAAACCGTCCTCTCCAAGCTCTTCTCCTTGCAGTATCTTAGCTCGAGAGAGACCTGCCTTTCCATCTGCAGCCGGCGGTAGAAGCTCTCGATGAACCTTTCCGCCCTCTGATCGACGTCGTCCCCGCAGGACGCGGCGTCGCTGGTCGACCTCAAGATCCCCGACACCGTCGGGCTCAGGCTCGTCGTCCTCGACACCGGCGAGCTCAAGCTCGCCGTCCTCGAGAGCGAGAACGACGAGCCGGCGTCGTAGTAGTCCTCGGTGCAGTCGAGCAAGCTCGGCTGGGCGGCCCGAAAGCTCAGCGGACGAGGCCCGAGCGGCGATCTCTTGAGGCGGGAGACGACGATCCACTTGGTGGCGTCGAAGGACAGCAGGAAGCTCACCCTCTGAATCGCCCCTCGGAAGCGGGCCAGTAGTGGAGTTCTCTTCTCGGCAGCCATGGATGAGGTGTCAGGTGATCAGGATGTGCATTGAAGTGCTTGTGGTTGGTAGCTTATAGATGCATCTAGGCGAAGGGAAGAAGAAGCTTCATGGGGCATGACAGACGTGTGTCGAAGGTCTCCAAAGATGGAGTCAAAGATTTCGCATGTCATTGGATGAAGTACGCAAACTACGATAAGATTAATACTACAATAAAATATGAATAAAATATTTTATTTATAATCACTCAAGTCTTTTAATTGTTTTGGTCTTAAACTTCTAATTATCTTAGGAAAATTCATAATTAGAGGATATGGATGGCATGATTGGGAGTCTATATCTTATAAGAATGACTGTTCAACGTGCCAATATATGTTCCTTCGTAACATGGTATTGGTCAAACTTAGGCAGGCTTCAATTCATCATGCTGCCTTAACGCGGCTATTCCATGGACCAAGTCATGGTTTCTTCTTTCCCTTGAAAACTATGGAAATAGTGGATTTGCTCCTACAAATTTTAGTGTAGGAGGGCTAATATTCATCCAAAAATAGTCATCAATTATTAGTTAAATTTAAAACTAATATTTAAAATATATAAATTTTTTTTTTTATCAATTTAGAACTTGAACATCTACTTGAATAATAGCTTCTAACCATTTCCAATGTCATATTTATAAAAAAATAAATCATAAATTTATTATTCATAATTTATTAAAATTTTTTTTTGAATTCATATCTTATTTTTATAATACTAAATATTTTTTAATAAAAAAATATTTTCTTAGTAGAGCTACAAGCAACGAAAAGGTCTTCTCCTTTCGAGCCTTACATTTATTACAAAATAGTATGTTACTATAAAAATAAATATAGAATAAAACTACATTAGTAACCATATATACTGATAAAATCTTCAAAAAAATATAAAAATAATCCTCAATACTCTTGAAATATATATATATATATATTAATAATTTAATAGGAAACGATAACGTATCAATTCATTATGAAACTCATGTATGAGAAAAATAATAATAATTCTTATGTAATAAATAAAATTATACATGAGTTATATGTAATACATTTAGATGACATACATAATAGTCATATAATAAAGACGTATTTCACACCCGATAGTACACTATGCCAATAGCAAATGGAGAAATATACTTTTCGATTCCTTCTAACAACAGATAGAAAAAATCCTTATCGCACTTCCAAT